GATGATTCAAAATGTGGGCAAACATTTTTTGAGCTGTATGAAACATATTTCCACACTTGGAATCATCATATTTGGTTGGGTATGTCCCAGTCAACTAGGGGTCACATCATTGGTCCGGGAACAACAGGCCACACTTTTGACAGAAATAACTTCTGGTCCACTTTCAATTAACATTTTATTTAGGAATCAAAATATTCAAAATTTCAAGTTTTTTAGAGCCCACTTCTGCTTGGAAAGCCTGAGAAGCTCACCCAGAGCTCTCCTATACTGGCATTGCCAATTCCTACTAACTAGCTTTGGTAGCACTTCGACCATCAATAACTTCTGAATGAACTTGAAAGTCTAGAATTTTATTTCAGAATATATTCCAACACCTTTCAGCTTACACTTAACCAATATTTTTCTTCAGAACACATGAAATTCTTTCATAGCACCTGCCTTAACTGGCATGTGTCTCTCCTACTAACCCACCTTCAGCACATTTTCACCACATTTTCCACATGAAAAATTCAGGAGCCACTTTGAATTACCCAATTTTTATCTCAGTTTCTTCATGAAAAAAACAACATCAATATTTTAAGCCATCACTGCCATGCCCAAAATACCCTTATTCCATATGCCATAGTCATATCTGCAGATTTGTATTCAATGAAGGAATGCAAATATCCTTCTTACTTTTACCTGATGTGGTTCCAATCATGTTAAATATTTTCAAAGTGCTGAATTTGTTTTTATAAGTTGATTTTGAGTTTGATTTGTGTTTTCTTTATTATATGTATCATATATTTGCACCCCAATTTGCAACAGAGTAAGGTCTGAGGCATGCCCTAATGCATATTCAATAGGACAGTGTGGAATCCTCTACGCGAACCCTTTTTGATGTTACTTTTTCCTCCACTTCTTCCCTAGTGACTGCCGGCTCCACAAACCTTCCTCCTGCTATCATTGTCCCCTTCATCGTATCCATCCCCTTTCAACATTCATCTTATCTCCACCACAAATCAAATCAATCAATCAATCAATCACGGAATTTAAATCACTCGAGATGACTGGCCAGCCCGTCTTCGGTATCAACACAAGTTTTGCGGGCGGGCGGACTTACTGTGAAGGCAATACCAATACCTATGGATATCAAACCAGCAACCAACAACTTTCTTTGCCCTTAACCTCAGGAAGTGATATATCATACGACCAAGAGCCAAATCACCGCAGCGCTCATACCTCATACGATCAAGGGCAAAACTACCGTGGAGCCACTTCAACCCCGCATAACCAGCAATATCATACGCCCGATGGCCTCAATTCATACCAGAACTCCATTCAAAATCCAAAGACGTCTTACACCCACCAACACATCACCCAGAATTCGCCCCCTGCCTTGCAGGGCCGACGTATAATTAGTGGCCCCAACATATCCCAGATTCAACTGCAAGGCCAAGCGACCACGGATCGCCACTTGCTCAACGTTCAACTGCAAGGCCAAGCGACCACGGATCGCCACTTGCTCAACGGCCAGCCCATGCTAACCACCCAGGCAACATCTCATTCTAGAGCACAAGCTCCAGGTTCCCATACATAATCAAATACCTCGAGATACTC